GCAAATACAGAAAATTTCACTTCCACCATGTGAGGATAGAGCAAGACTTTCATCAGATCCTGATGAATTGACCTTTACCTTCTTACCCTCCAGAACTGTGGGAGAAATATTTTTGTACCTATAAATAACTCCATCTTAGATATTCAGTTGTTGCAAAACAAAACGGACTAAGGCAGTTCATGACCGGTATATTACTTATTGTAATTACTATTAAGGTTATTATTATTGTGTATCTACAAAGTGAAGTACTATAATTGGTGGGCATATAAAAGGATAAACAACCTTAGCAGATGAAAAATTTAGAGAATTCATTCAACAATTTTCTCAGTTACCTGTGTCTGTACTTGATACTATCCTAGACACTGGGGATCTGATAGATGGAAAGAAGATAAAGTTCCTGCCATAAGGAAACTTGAATTTATTAGCTATGGAACATCTTCCCTGCAGATCAAGTTAATGAGGAAAACCTAAGAAACAACTGAAAATGACATTATAGTGTGATGAATATAATGAGAAGCCAGAGCACATGGAGGCAGAATTTAAAGGGAAGAGACATGTAACCTGGTTTCCTGAGAACAAAATTTTGGAAAGATTCTTGGAGGTGGCAATGTCAGTGCCAAGCCTAGAAAGACTTATTTGTTGATTTTTACAGTTTCTGCACAATACCTGTTAGGTGCCTGAAATTGTTCTAAGTGTTTTACAAATAAGTAATCATTAATTTAATGTAATTATCCTGATAACTCAATGAGGTAGGGAAAGTGAAACATATAGGGGGCTATATTAGTTGCCCCAAATCACAAAAGTAGACACTGATAACAAAGTGCATGCCATTAACTGCAATGTTCTTTGCTGCTTCTCCCTCCTATAATGTTTCTGTAAGCTGTGTTGGGGTGAGCTGGAGGTCAAAGGAATGGGGTGTAGGGGAAGTCATTACTCCATGAAAGTCTTAAAACTATTTACTTTACTGGAGTAGTGGAAAGAATCTTGTAGAAAGATCAAGAAAGAAAATGGAGGGTAATTATGAATATAGTAGAAATCCAGGTGAGAGATTTTGCTATTTCTGATAGTGTTTTCCCTGTTGGCACTCATGTAGTGTTATATGACTACACAAAATAATGCATTATTGTTAAGGTATCAGTACTAATATATTTTACTGACACTAAGATACAGATTGAAGAACATGGTTATGTTTATAAAGAATATGCATTGTCTGTTTAATCCAGAAATAGCTACATTTAGATTCCCTCTCATGTGTTTCATAATTAATTTAATTACAATTTTAATCATGGATATCTGTGGCTAAGTTATCTCTTTTGTAAGTAACTATACATGATATTCTTGTCAGAAATGGTTAGCATACTAAGGTAAGTTGACACTGCCAAAAGGTAATCCAAATGATAAAAATAGAGTTATACATCCAGGAAAAAGATCTAATTCTAATTTTTATTTTATCCAATGTGTAGATTTCTATTTTCCCAGTGTACACAACTGATCTGAACTAGGTTCTCAGTTAAGTATTTGTGTTAGTGCATTTTATCACTCCCATCAAGATACTACCTTAGCCTTAAGGTTTTATAAATTACCTTAGGTAATTTATAAACAAAGGAGATTTTATTGACTCAAAGTTCTGCATGGCTGGCAAAGCCTCAGAAATTTTATAATTTTATAAAGAATGCAGCAGACTTCTGCCTGGACATCCAGGTACTTTGATACATCCTCTAATATCCATGTTCCCAAATCTCAATTCTTGACTTTTGTGCAACACAAGCCCAACACCAACCAGGTGAAAGTCACCCTTTTAGCCACAACTGGTTCTGAAGCAACTGGAATGTAGGTTGCCATGTCCAGAGGCTACAGAGACCAGCAGGGGTCCTGGGCCCAGTGAAAGTAGTTTTTTGTTTTTTTTTTTTTTTTTTTTTTTTTTTTTTTTTTTTTTCCTCCTAGGCTTCCTTGCCCGTGATGGGAGGGGCTGCAGCCAAGATCTCAGACATGCCCCAAAGACATTTTCCCCATTATCTTCGTGATTAACATTTGGCTTCTCATTATTTATGCACATTTCTGCAGTATGCTACATTTCTCCAGCAAAAATGATATTTTCTCTTTATCACATCATCAGGCTGCAAGTTTTTCAAACTTTTATGCTCTGCTTCCCTTTGAAATGTATGTTCCAATAGCAAACCATCTCTTAGTGAATGCATATAACCGATTGCTTTCAGAAGAATCCAGGTTACATCTTGAATGCTTTGCTGCTTAGAAATTTCCCCTACCAAATATCCTAAATCATCTGTCTCAAGTACAAATCATTCCAATTATATAACACTCTCAAAATAACAACATTGTATAGTGTGAGAGTAGTAATCACTAGGGATCATGAATTTGAGAGGACAGTTAGGTGTGGCTATCAAAGGAAAAATGAGACGTCCTTGCATTGAAAAAATGCTTCTGTAGTAGTATTATGGTGATCGTTACTTGAGTGTAGACATATGATAAAACTGAATATAACTAAACACACACACAGACACACATAAATGAGCACATGTAAACTCGGTGAAATCTGAATAGATGGATTGTATTAATTCCAGTTTATTGGTTGTGATTTTTTACTATAGTTTTGCAAGAATTTTTCATTGGAGGAAACTGAATAAAACAAACATTGTGGTATCTCCCCATATGATTTCTTCCAATGGCATGCTTATAGATATATTAAAAAGATGTTCAACATCACTAGTCATAAGATAAATGCCTACTAAAACCACCATATTACTTCACACTTGCTAAAAGTTTGAAGAAAAACGAACCCCAGTACACTGTGGTTGGAAATGTAGATTGGTATAACCATTATGTAAGACAGTATGGAGGTTTCTAAAGAAATTAAAATATAACTGCCATATGATCCAGTAATCCTTCTTCGGGGTATATACTCAAAGTAGATAAAAATCACAGCCTCATAAAAATGTCTGCATACTCATGTTCATGCTCATTCCCAATAGCCGAGATATTGAAACAACTTAAATGTCCATCAATGGATGAATAGATTTTAAAATGTGATTTGTGTGTGTGTGTGTGTGTGTGTGTGTGTGTGTCTGTGTGTGTGTGTGTGTGTGTTATAGCTCTACAGAACTAAATGTTATTTAGCCTTAAAAAAAAAAAGATCTAGGCATTTGCCACAATATGAATAAACCTGGAGGACATCACACTAAGGTAAATAATCCAGATAGGAAAAAAATATTTTGATGATCTTATATGTGGACTATATAAATAGGGGTCTAAAAAGACAGAGGTAGATAATAAAACATTGGGGTTGGGAGAAGAAATGGGCAGATGTAGGTCAAGGGATACAAAATAGCAGATATGTAGGATGAACATGTGTAGACATCTATATATATAGGGGGACTAAAGCTGATGAAATTGTGTCATGAATTTTATTAAGTATATTTTAGCTGCTATTTACACACACTTAGAAACTGAGGAGATATGCTAATCTGCTTAACCATAGTAACCATTTTAGTTTATGTATCCCATAATATCATGTTGTAAACCTCAAATATACACAATAAAATTTCTTAAAAATAGAAATAAAAAAATCTATCACACTTCTATGTACTAACATTGAACATGTGGATATCGAAATTAAACATATGATACTATAAGCAGTCCCTTAAAGAAAATGTCATGCTGAGGTATAAATTAAAACATGGACCACAAGGTGACTGCAAATATTCAATATCAAAATATCTTTTTAAAATCTACACAATACAAAAATGTACCTGACATATCCATTTTCAAAGAAAGAACTGATTAGACATACATAGATGCATCTTAAAAACAGGGCTCAGTGAAAGATTAAGTATTGACAATGGATACATAAATTGAAAACAAATGTCCACAAACAATATGAAACATGTATTAACACTCATACAGAGAAAAGGATGCACATCAGTGCATTACAACAATGGCCAATGTAGACAAGGGAAATAAAACTGGATCATGGAAATAAAGGAGAGTGAATGAGTAAATAAACAGGAGCGGGTCTTGAGCAATTAACCCAAGGAATATACCTCAGCCTTCTACACTTGATGCCAAAACCACTCTACTGTATTCCCTACAATAGAAACAGAATTTTTTTCCATGGAAGAATTCCTTACTTTTTCTTTCTTTCTTCTTTTTTTTTTAATTTGCATTTTAGGTTTTGTGGTACATGTGAAGAACATGCAATTCTTAATCACTGACATTCTATGGAAATACTGGTGTATGGAAGTGGTAATAAAAATATCAACTTTTACTTGTATGATTGTGTTCAAATTCTCTGTAGACTATGCTTTTGTTCATTGCCTGCAGTAGACCAATAGCCACTCCCAGTGTCCCACATTGGGTAGGCTCCTGCTCCACCTAGAGTTTCTTACCAAAAAGTGCCCTAGTATTGGGACCAGGTCCTGCAAACACCATCATTTTAGTGTTTGTGGTGTGCTGTTTTACTTTCTGCAGGGTGAGGTTGTTTGTCTTTTTGAGGGTGTTCAGCTGCTCAAAGAATTGGGTGAGCTAGGAAACACACTACCATCAGGTATATGTCATGGAGTTGGTGATTTTGATGTCTTCATTTTGGAAAGAGTGTCACGGTCACCTACATACAATGCAGCTCTTTTTAATGTGCCCTTCTAAATATGTACATGCTCCAAGAAACACCAAATCCTCTTCTTTGTCTCCTGTGAGATAAAATTTTAAGAAGAAAATTTGTCTCCTGGAATCAGTCCTTCCCCGAGTCCTTATTTAGAATGTCTGCTTCACCTGTGGGTCTACCCAGCAACCCTACAGTACCTCTTATCCCTCCCTTCTCGAATGCCTACCGCTCCCTTTCCCTTCCTCCTCACCATCACAAAACAGGCAGAGAGATACTCAGTCATCAGCTCCTCAAATTTTATTTTATTGTTATTATGCCTTGTCCAATTCGGTTTCTCCATGTGTGACTAATCCTGCCTACCCTCCTGTGAAGATCGTTCACATTAGTTGAGGTCTTTGTACTTCCGTGAACATCCTTCCCATGAGTCGAGGTCTTCATCCTTCTGTGAAGATCCTTCACATGAGTCAAGGTCTTCGTCCTTCTGTGAAGATCCTTCACATGAGTCGAGATCTTCGTCCTTCTGTGAAGATCCTTCCCATGAGTTGAGGTCTTCGTCCTTCTGTGAATATCCTTCCCATGGGTCGAGGTCTTCGTCCTTCTGTGAAGATCCTTCCCATGAGTCGAGGTCTTCATCCTTCTGTGAATATCCTTCACATGAGTCGATGTCTTCGTCCTTCTGTGAAGATCCTTCCCATGGGTCGAGGTCTTCATCCTTCTGTGAAGATCCTTCCCATGAGTCGAGGTCTTCATCCTTCTGTGAAGATCCTTCCCATGGGTCGACGTCTTCGTCCTTCTGTGAAGATCCTTCCCATGGGTCGAGGTCTTCGTCCCTCTGTGAAGATTCTTCACATGAGTCGAGGTCTTCATCCTTCTGTGAAGATCCTTCACATGAGTCGAGATCTTCGTCCTTCTGTGAAGATCCTTCCCATGGGTCGAGGTCTTCGTCCTTTTGTGAATATCCTTCACATGAGTTGAGGTCTTCGTCCTTCTGTGAAGATCCTTCAAATGAGCCTAGGTCTTCTGCCTCCTGTGAACATCCATCAGCTGAGTCATCTAGGTCTTCATCCTCTTGTGAATATCCTTCCCATGAATCCAGGTCTTCGTCCTTCTGTGAAGATCCTTCCCATGGGTCTAGGTCTTTTTCCTCCTCGTCCTGGATTGGATCGATGGATTTGTCTTGGGACAGGTCATTCTCCATTTGATTTGTATTCGTTTTCTTTTCCTTCCTGTAGTAAAACACTAATATTGTTGGATATTGTGATTTTTTGGTCTTCTTCAAACTTTGTTCAGAGGCTAAAGCTCCGTTCAGTGTCTCCAGCATCTGGTCAGAAAACAGGGAGGGGCCAGAAAGACGTTACTTTTGGTGAATAGAGTAGAGACTGAATAGCAGTGGTGGGGGTGGTGGTTTATGAGAAGAAACGCAGGTTGAGAAAGCAGTTTGTGCCAGAGGAGAACAAGGTGGAATCATAGGGTAGGGATCTATGGGGAAAAAGAAGAGGAGCATGGCTAGGGTCATCTGTGTTAGTCCAAACTGCACCATTTTCTAAGCACTTTGCGATTTTGCAGACCTTGGTGAAAGTGAAACATTCCATGGGAATTCAGGCTGTGAGAAACATCCTGCCTAACCATCTGAGCACAGGGCAGACAAAGGCTCAGCTAAAGAAACATCCCCATCACATCTTGGTTGTCAAAGCTGTAAGGTACACCACAATGATATTCTACCAGAAAGAGAGCCAAACAACCTGCTCATAAGAACATCTTATCGATATTCTGCTGGGCAGCAAGCCATACTGCCCAGATCCCTTCCATCCACACCCGTTAAGTACCCCGGCCTGTAAACAGTGGTGGGCTCTGGCATTAAGCTGGTCCCTGACTTCCACAGGTGTCTGCAATATACCTGTGTTGCTGTTTGAGCCTCCCCCTCTCTGTGTGTTTTTCTTTCACTCTCACCTTCCTTTCAAAACCCCACATATTGGTGCCGAAACTCAGAATGGTGATTGGGTTCTAATGAGTAAGTTTTCTCATACAACCTGGAAAGCAGCAAGCAGCACAAACTAGACCAGGGCCTACTTCCAGATCCTGAGTGGACTCCCTGTTCCCATTCCCATTCCCCTTATTTCTCTCATCTTCTCCAGCCCTGAGCTAACCTCCAGATATTGATCAACCTTTCCATCTTACGTTTCCTTCCTTCCCCTTTCCGGGCAGCTGCAACAAGGATCACCTCCATTGTGGCACTGGGCTTCAGTTAGTGGGTGAGTTTCCCTCTTCCTCCTTTTCAGATTCCTCTGTGTTTCTGCTGGTTCTCCAAAAAGTTTCAGTGCTGGGTGAGAGGTCTCCCCTGTCACCAGGCAATCACAGCCTGGCGTCTTAGGGGACACCCTCAGAACGCTTGCCACTCTGGCCGCTACAGCCTCCGGGGAACCGTGAATGGCTCTGGGGCTGCCCTGACTCTCCAGATCTCTTCTCCCAGGAGGAATCCAGTACTCACTTCCCTTTGGGTTATTCACTTCTCTCAGGAGTACTCGGTCCCCTCTGGGGTATTCACTTCCTTCCAGGGCACTCACTTACCTCAGGGGTATCCACTCCCCTTCAGAGTATTCACTCTTCCCTTCCCAAATACAAAACTTCCAAATTGAACATAATCTAAAAAAATTAACTTCCAAATTCAACATAATCTAAAAAACTTTCTCCAAAGCAATGGTAAATGATCCGAAGTGCTTTGCTTTTCTCCATTCATGGCTCTCTCTCTCAGTCTCACTCTGCCAATCCTGTTCACCTTTTCAAATCTTCCTCCTCCAGGAGAAATCCCCCAAAATGCCCCCTCCTCCGGGCAAGCCTTCCTCCTCCGCATTTCAACCAGACCCACACACCCCTTCCTCAGCCTCCTGCCCACCACCATTCCCTCCACCTTCTCCTTCGGCTTCGGCTCCTCCAACCCCTTACTGTGTCCCTGCATGCCATCTTCCTTCTCCATCTCAAACCAGATCTCACGTCCAACCCCCTTTCTCTGAAATCCAGTCACATGCCCAGTGTTTACACGTAGGATACTACAATCTAAGACCAACATGTGCAACAGTGTGGGCATTGTTCAGCTTCCTACTGGGAATTATGTCCAGTGCAAAAAAAAAAAAAAAAAAAAAAAAAAAAAAAAAGAGGCATTTGGATTGGAAGAGGAGAAATAAATACAACTATCTTCTGTCGAAGACTATATCAGAGGCTATGTAGAAAAGTCAATGTTAAAAAAGGCTTCTACAATCGTTGAGGTTAGCAAGATTGCCCAGCTAACAAAACACTCCTATCATATCTTGCTGGGCAAAGTTCTAAGAAACACCACGATGACATCCCACTAGAAAAAGAGACAAACATCCTGATCATAAAAACGTCTTAAATATCCTACCAGTATCATAAAATCCCTTATCAATATCCTGCCAGGTAGCAAGCCATTCCGCCCAAACCCCTCCCACCCATATCTGTAAGTACCGGAGTCTGTAAGTAGCGGTGTGTTCTGGCATTAAGGAGGTCCCTCACTTCCACAGATGTCTGGTACATACCTGTGTTGCTGTTTGAGCCGCCCCCTCTCTGTGTGTCTATCTTTCACCCTCACCTTCCCTTCAAATCCTAACAATCTTACCTTGTCACTTTTTTTGCTGTTGGATATACTTTTCATCTTGGTGCTTGAAGTTGGCTGTTTCATGTCTATAGCTGTTTGTAGAATGTCTGTACTAGGCTCTTCAAGGGCACATGCTTCCACAGCCTTATTGAAGCTTGCCAGTGGGTTGTCCCAGAGCTCCTGCCCTCCCTATATATACCCTCCTGGTGACAAGGCAAAGCCACACCCTTGAGCTTTGTTTGATCATACAGGCGGTTTCCCAGCCAATGGCAGTCCTAGGATGGCTTTGACATCACAAAGTACCACCCGTGACAACTTCCTGGGCTTGGGGGGAAAGGATGAAAGGCTTGTAGAGAAAACCAAATGCTGCTGTTGTTTCAGCATCCCCTGAAGATGCGTTCCAAACTGATCTACCGCCGCTCCTCATTTCTCCAGGTTTAATGTTCATGGTTCACATGGATGTGAGAGGATGATCCCTTCAAGCCCTTCCCCATAGTCACTCTTATTAAGTGATTCATTTCCTTGTCTTCCAGCACTCATCATACACTAGTATTTTGGATGTTTCACCTCAAATCCCTCCAAGCTAATGTGACCCGTTTAAAAGTTCCCTTTTCTCTGCATTCTTCCCAATCCATGTTATGATTCATCATTTTATTAAAGCCATTGTAACAGCGTGAAGAGATATTTCACTTTAGTTGTAATTTGCAGTTCCCTAATTATTGGTAATTCTATTTATTTTAATGTACTGATTTTGCATTTGTATGCCTTTTACAAAATATCTGTTCAGGTTCTTTGCTCACTTTTTAATGGCATTTTTTGTTTTCTTGCTATTAAGATTTTTGAGTTTCATATATATTTTGGGTACTAACCCCTTATCGGATGTATGGTTTGCAAATATTTCTTCCATTCTGTGGGTTGTTAATTGTCTTTTTTGCTTTACAGAAGCGTTTCTGTATAATGCCATTCTTTTGGTCTACTTTTGTTTTCATTGCTTTTGTTTTCAGGATTATACCCAAACAATCTTGCCAAGAGCAATGGCATGGAGCTGTTCCCTTATGCTTTTTTAGAAGTAGTTTTAGGCTTTCATGTATTCTGTTTATTCATTTTTTATGGCTGCATAGTATTCTATGGTGTATGTATATACTTTGTCTTTTCTTTATCCAGTCTATCATGCATGGGCATTTATGTTGATTTCATGTCTTTGATGTTGTGAGTTATGCTGCAATGAAAATACACATTTGTGCCTTTATAATAGAGTGAGTTATATTCCTTTTGGTATATCCCCAATAACAAGATTGCTGGGTTGAATGTTATTTCTTTCTTTCTGTCTTTGATCATGTACTTTGCAGGGACACAGATAGAGCTGGAGGCAATTATTCTTAGCAAACGAAAGCAGGAACAGTAAACCAAACACAGCATGTTCTCACCTATACCGGGGCACCAAAAAATGAGAGCATATGTACACACAGAAGGGAACAAGCACAGGGGACTCTAAAGGGGTGTG